AACAACAACAACAACATATATCTATATCTATACATATATATTTTGTTCTAATGAATATTCTTTATAGTTTCCTTAGAAATCTTTCCAAAAGATCTCAGACATAGGAAGCTAAATGGTGAATGGCTGGACTGCTTTTTGCTGTTACTTCTGCAACTATATCAAGAATCCTGGCTATCATGAAAAGATTCTTTAAGGGTTTGGAGGGCTGGCTGGATTATACAGATCTTTGATCACCATTTCTCAAAGTAACGAACTTTGGCCAGACCAGCCAGAATCATCTATATACTTTTTCAAGATACAGTTTCTTGGGCTCCATCCTCATTAGCTTATTGAACCAAAATCACTAGTAGTGAGCCCTACAATAGGTACTTTAAGTAAACTCCCATGGAAGTCTTTCCCCAGCAGATCCAGAGAGAAAGCTATTTTTATAGTAACTATCTATTAATATACCTTCTTTTGAGTCCCTGGGTAGTGCAAATGGAAACTGGTCACCTACCAGAGATGCCTTGGAAGTAAAGTCTGGCAATCTACTTCCAAATATCAGCCACTGGAAATCTCACATAGCACTCTGACATAAAGGGTCACCATGCTCAAAATCAACTAGTTTATAATTTTTCTTAAAGGGAGATACTGCTTTCTTTTTCTCTGTTTCCATTGCCCTTGCATTGCACAGCAATGCCCCTAGGCGGGTCTTACCGGCATGGTGATCTGGATGGGCTGCCGCTCTCCACTCTTGGTTGGGACTACGCCTTCTGTGTCGTAGATGCCCGAATACACGGCTCTGTCTCCATCAGGTTCTTGAGACTTCAGCTCCAGAGGGACGACTGTGCCACCAATGGAAATGCTCCTGTAATGGATCTGAGTTGACCACCTATGGCAGGACTTAAGCTTAAGCACCCTATGCCATGGACAAACATCAGGCAGTGATCCTACATGGCTTGGTGAAGGGGGATACTACAGTAGAGTAGAAATAACTCCAAAATGCTGGGACATTTGAGTTCTCCAACTAACATTCCTACTTCTTAGCTACTTGACCTTAGGCCTACAGCTTACTATTTCTGAACTGACCTGAGTATCTAGAATACCTAAACAAAGCCATGTTGCACTATATGAATGGGTCTCCTCTCTAGTTACTCCAGGAGACAGAAAAATTCCTTCTAATATCAGGCCTACCTGAAAACTCAGAGACTGGTATTCAAATGATCTGGACATTGGTTAATGAATTGTAAAGTTCTGTGAGTGTTGCTAATATGCAGGCAGGGTTGACAAACACTGGCTAGGTGTTTTTTAAATATCCATTTAGAGGAGCTTTGTAATTTCAAGTTCCCTTCTGCAAGCCTGTCACACCAACATAAATCCTCACAGGCTTCACTCCTCTGTATTAGGGTCAGGGTTTCTGATTGGTCAATTCTAGTTTGGCTCTGTTGAGAAACTGTCTTTCTAGTCCACTTAAACTGAGTAGTAACTCTACAGGGGAAAATCAGCATTGACAAGAGGCCTGAGGATCTATGAGAATTACCAGGGGATCTTGTTAAAATATTGACTCCAATTCAGTATAACTGGTGTGGAAATATAATTCTCAGTAGGTGACTGAACTGGAATCCTATGGGCCTAAAGATGGAATTCTTGGACCGTAAGCATCAGTATCATCTTCGAATCTGTGAGGAATATAATTTTTCGGCCTTCTCCTAGAGGTACTAGGAGCCCTGGAGAAGGGGTCCAACAATATAAGTTTTAGCACCTCTCCACACCCAGGGATTCTGATCACGATTAATTTAAGAACCACTGAATTAGAACATTAAGGCTTTTAAAAACCTTGGGTAAACTAAGGTGTAACTGGAAACACAATTGTTTTTAGCTCTGTCATTATCACAATTTGATTCCTTAAGTTAGTTTTTTTTAAAAAAAAAAACACCAACAAACAACATTTTGCAGAAAATGTAACATAAAAGAATTGACACGATGGAAGAGAAAGGAAGTGAAACCCTGAATCATATGCAAAAGCCCATACAAAACCCTGGTTAATGTGGGGTGATGGGCACATGGAGCTGTAGGGAGGGAATGAATGTCCATTTTCAAACATCTGGACCAGAAGCACCAAGACTTGGTTCTAAGTCTCTCCATAAGGGTCTGGCATCTGAAAACTGAAGTTTACTAGTGAATGGATACAAGTGCACATCAAAGTCACAAAGGATGCCTGATGGATTCACATTCCCCCTCTACAGTATGTGGCAGATAAGAAATGCTGGTTTGCGTGGCGCCCACGCCTAAGCGGACTCAGAGATAAAGCACCCCCAACCGAGGGATCTTCCTCCCCTTGGGGTCTCACCCTGACACTTCCTCCAGAGGTCTACCGGATGTCCTGACCTAAAGCAGGGCAGGCGTAAACCCAGGCATGAATAAACCAAAAAGCCTCGGGGGTGAGGATGCTGCTAATTTCAGGTCCCATCACCAGGGTGACCAGGCTCAGGAGAGAAAATGACCAGATGAGGAAATCCCTGGGGCCAGAGCAGAAGAGGCTGTTCCCTGACTTGTTGAGTCTGGCCCTCAAGCCTCCACAGTCGCATAACGGAGAAGGGAAAAGTGAAGGTTATCAGGCAGAGAACCTCAAGAACCACCCTCTCTCTCTGCCCGTGCCCCTATCTCCCCGACACTCCTTTCTTCAGCCTCGCCCGCAGCACTGGGGCGGGACCCGAGGGCTGGCACTGCGGCAGATGAACCCTCTGCTCGCAACCTCCCACCGGGGACCGCGAGAATAGATGGGGCGAGGATTGGCAAGAAAAGAAAACCTGGCTTCCAACAAACGCTTGAAAGGGATCCACCGAGATCATGGGGATGGGCGCAGAGAAGCGGGAAGAGCCAGAGGCAAGAAGGGAGGGAACCTAGGAGCTGAGCTCGTCCCCGCGTCCCTCGGCCACAGCGCGAGGCCAGGGGCCGCACCCGGGCTTCGGCCCTCCCCACCCGCACTCACTGGACTTGCAGAGTAGGGGGCTTAATCTTCACCTCCACCTTGTAGGAGGAGCCGGTGAGCAGCTTGATGGTGCGGTTCTGGCCGAAGCGCTGGCCGTCCACCTTGAAGAAGACCGGGCCGTCATTGGGCTGGATGCGCAGCGCGATGGAGAGGCGAACGAGCCCCGGCAGGTCCCCCATGGCTGGGTGAGGGGCAGGCGCGGCTCTGGGGGCCCGGGGCCATGAATTATGTTTTATAAAATTAGTTACCGCTGGGCTTTGCTTATCATTACCTGGCTTTTCACCCACATCCTTCCCATTTACTTCCCTTCCTCCATCCACCCACAAAACTGTAATCCTGTGTAAACCATCCTCAGCCTTCCCTCTCTTGAGTTTCCATACATATTTTGTTAACCATATTTACAACAATGGTTTTATGCAGTATTTGTCCTTATGAGACTGCATTAGTTCACTCAGCATAATGATCTCCAGTCTAATAACAATAATACAATGCTCTAAGTTGTGTAGTATTTTTTTTTAAAATCGTTGGTCCTGAGTACTGCATAGTATTCCATTATGTTACTGTACCAAAATTTCTCAATCCTTTTGATTGTGGTTGGGTATTTGGGCTGTTTTCGTGTTCTTGTGATGGTGAATAACACGCTATGAACATTGTCATGCAAATCTCTGTGTCTCACTTCTAATTTCCTTGGATTATATTGCTAGTAGTGTAATAGCTGGGTCGTACAGAGTTCCTATATTCAGTTTTTGAGGAAATGCCAAACTGCCTTCCTTAGTGGTTGTACTATTTTATAATCCACCAATGGTGTATGAGAGTTCTCACATCCACATCCTCTCCAATATTTATTGCTTACTGCCCTACTAAACTTTGCCACTGCTACTGGGATGAGATGGTATCTCATTGTGGCTTTGATTTGCATTTCTTTTATTGCCAGTGATTTTGAGCATTTCTTCATGGGTCTGTTAGCCATCTGAATGTCTTTCTCTGTGAAAA